TATATATATATAAAAGAAGAGAGCGGAGTGGCGACAACGCACACTTGACAAGGGCAGTCGAACGAAGCGAAACGTCGCTTAGTCTCGAAGAGGGCTTGCCGTGGTATTTGGTGTCGCGGTGGCGCTGGGCTTCTGCAGGAAGAACGAAAATGAAGGAGGAGGAAAACAAAAAACAGAAAGGGGGGGAATAAAAAGTGGAAAGGGACGGTTTCTCTGCTCAACGTGAAGAAACTAACGGGCGTCAGGGAAAAGTGAGAAGCCTTTTTGTTTCTCCTTGAGAGTATAGCAGGAGAAACGAATGAAATCGGGAAAGGAATTGGAAGCAAAGGGGGGGGGGNAAAAGAGAGAGAAGGGGTGAGTGGGAAGAGACGCGTGGCTGTAGGGAACATGACGTGGTAGGGTGCTGTGTGTTGAACGCCTGACTGCACGTTTTTGTTTGTTTGTTTCTCTGCAGCTTGATGCCGCCTGCGGTGGTGATGGGTGGTGTTGCTGCTGTGTCTGTTACGGCTGAGTCCAGCACGTGCGCTTCATTCTCTCCTGGTTGCTGATGTTTTTCTTTGTTCCCCGCATTCCCACTTAAGGGTGGGTCGAAGAGTGGCTGCTGTATGAGCACACTCGACAAGAGTTTGACCGATGCGGAGCAGTACGCGGTGTGGTGCGAACAGACCCGGGCGCTCTTCGCCCACACCGTGCCGCAGCGGTGCGGGTCCGCGGACAGGACGTCTGCACACACCAGCAAGAGCGGCAGCAGCACCAACGGGGAGGAGTTCGACGCCAGTCTGCAGGCAGGGGCTCCGGGCACTGAGGATGGTGGCGACTTCCCCTACTGCTTTTACATGCGCATGCTGAGTTGCGGGGGGCGGCGGGAAGCGATCCAGACATCGTGTGACGACAGTCGCGGCTTCTGCAGCGAAGACGGAGGAAGTTTCTTTTCATCTCTCTCTGAAGAACAGGAAGGTCAGAAGCTGTATGTGGACGAGGACGCGTTGACCGCGCGGCTGGCCTCCAAGCTGAAGACACACGCACGTACCATTCGAAGTAAACAGCAGGAACAAATCCCCGCTACGTTGCCGGTGGAAAGTGTTAACTGGCCGTACCGTGATGGGAGCGTTGAGGTCTTGGCGGCGGCGGTGAACGAGGAACTGCATGAGATGCTCATGTACGTGCGTCACCGCAACATGTTGGCTGAGCAGCTACGCCGCCAGCTTGTGGAAACACGACGCCTTCTTCTTCAGCAAGGGGAAGCCCCGTCGTGACACAACAGCCGTTTCGCAGAAGAGTGTGTGCAAGTTCGAGTACTACATAAATGGGTGGTGAAGGCGGTTTCTATTCTCTCTCTCTCTCTCTCCATTCTGTGTGTGTGTGTGTGTGTGTGTGCCTGTCGGAGGTAGGAACAGGAATTCGTCTGCATGCGGTATGCACTTAAATGGGTACCGATGTGCTGTTCTGTTAGGAGCAACGTAGCGCTTTCGTTTCTCCCTCACCTATTCTCTACCCCGCACTTTGTGTGTATTTGCCTTCCTGCGGCGGCGGAAGGTTTGAAACGGGTGGGCAGCGTCATTATATATACTTTTTCTTTGCGTTAGGTTTCTTACCAAAAGGCCTACAGGTGCGTCTGCACGGCGGTGTGTGTGTGTGAGAGCTTGCTTGTGTGTGTGTGTGAGAGCTTGCTTGTGCGTGCTTGTTCGTGTGGCGCCTGTATGTGAGATGGAGATCCAAGGTTCTGCGTTTGCTGCAGCCGCTGTTGCCTCCACGGAGCGCGCGGCACCCTTCGCGCGGCGCTCGTACATGCCGTCGTGGATGGCGGACCCAACTTGGGTGCGTTCCATTGAGCTGCCGCCCGAGTACATGGCGGAGTTGGTAGCAGACGGCAGGAGTAGCGTGGCGACCACAAGGAGGTCGTCGTCTGCCGCTGCTGCTGCGCCAGCACTCGTCGCCACGTCACGGCGCACCATGGCGTCGTGGGCCAGTGTCGACACGGGCGCGGGGGAAGGCAGCGAGGCGCCACAGCAGCACCTCATGTCGCTGCTGTCCCACGCAATCAAGTCGGTGACACAACGCACGCCGTGGGACCCGGAGGACTACGGGGTGGAGGCTCGCAAGGTGATGCTCGCGGTGCTGCTGAAAAAGTTCCTTGACCAGTCTCTCGACCCCGGCGCCGTCGGCCTCTTCGCAAAGGATGTTCTGCGACGCGCCTCCGACACGGACGTGGCGCGCGAGCTGCAGTACGTGTACGTCGCCTTTACGTACGACCGAACGTGGAATGGGTCGGATCCCTACAGGCGGCCAGAGAACTTCATGCGCCGCCAGGACTACGAGGCTTTCCAACAGCACTGTCTCGACGAGGTGGAGCGGCGGCTGCATATGTTGAACATTGATGTGAATGGCAAGGGCAGGAACATTGCCCACGCAGTGTCGGTGTGGCAGAACATTCACGGTGCACACCGGGGGGAGTGCTTTGGCGGGTCCATCACACTCTCCCTAATGAGTGTACGTCTCCGTGTGGTTAACGGCGGTAGCAGTGGTACCGCCAGCGACAGGAAATGGAAACCCCCAAAACAAGTGAAGGCGGTGTGGAGCCTTAGGCTCGGTGGTCGTGCTGTGTGCTCGGCCGCTGTGACGCAGAAGTGTGTACTGAGGAATGGCGAATACGAGTGGCCAAACAACAGCCGTGTAACGTTGATGGTCCCAAAAGGCGCAAGCGATTATTTTAAGGACTACACCGTCTCCCTCGAGCTAATGGTCTCAAAATCGACATGTCTTTGTGCAGCCCCACGTGAAAAAACAATAGCCTGTGCCAGTATCACTGTTGACGATGCACTTTACGCTAGCGTGGCACATCCAGACTCCGCCCTACGAAGCTCAGACTCGCACCCGCAGAACGGCAAGAACAAAGAGCCGTTCGCACACACAGGCGAAGTGGCCACAGGCTATCATTTTTCCCTTGTGTTGTTGTCCACAGGAAGCACTGCTGAGATGGGCGGATACCCCTGCGCTGTTGAGTCCGCAAGGGTCTGGTGCAGTATGCATTGCCTCCATGAAGCGCATAACACGCGGCCCCCTGCAATCGATGTGGTAGAGCAAGTAGCAGCAGGAGGAGAAGCGGTTACCGACGCGGCGGCAGCGGCAACTAACTTGAGTGCGTGGAGTGAGGACCATCATGGCAATTTCCTCCGCCTTGTCGATATACTGGGCGATGTCGATGACGTTGGCGTCATGATTAACAAGGCGTATTGTCGTCGCTACTTGATTCACGGTGAGCTTGAGACCGTTGCACTGCTCTCAGCGGTGTGCACGCACAGCAACTTGGCCGATCGCGCCTCCCGCGAGCTTTGCGCCCATGCGGTGGCATCGATGAGAGACCTCGCCGGTTCCTTGACAACTCGCGTGGGGGAGCAGCTAGTAGCGGATGCCCTCGCGACAACACGCGCCCACGCCCTCGACGTCGCTCTCTCGCTGGAGGACGTGGCCGCCCAGACGCGCGAGGCAGCGGCTGCGGCGTTGGCGGGCGTGAAGGCTCTTCTCCGCGCCGTCGAAGAGGGTGTCGACGTCGACGTGGCCATTGAGCAAGCGGCGAAGCGGGACGCAATGCCACTCGAGGAGGCGTTGCAGCGCCTCGACGGTCGTGTGCTTCGTGAGCACCGTCGTGAGGTGGTGCGCGCCACCGCAACGGACCTCACGCTGCCGGATCTCGAGCAGCACGAGGACTGCGCGCGGCTGACCGGCAAGACGCGCTACCTGCTCGAGCTGGTCACGCGCGTAATGGAGCGATGCACGCGTGCGTATACCTTCGCCAATGCGTCAGAGTCGGCGCCAGTGCAGGCGGTGGCGCTCTGCCGCATTGCGAGCATTGCGCACGTGATGTGCGCCCCGCTCCGCAACGTGGTGACGCGTATCTTGGCGTGTCTCGTGCGGGCACCTGAGCCGGACCCGCTCGGAGACACGCTCGGTCTTCTTGTGTCGACATATGGCGCGGTGATGCGGCTTGTAGACGTCCTCGATGAGGACCCTGCTGCTGCTGCTCTTTGTGTGGAATGGGCGAGTTGTTTTGCCGACTTTCTCTCGTGCTGGTTCCCCCTCTGTGAGGGGCACATCGCCACGTGGATGGCAAGCATCGTGTCTAACGAAGCACTGGAGCCAATTCTGTGCGGTACCGTACACTTCAATCAGTCACCAGCTCTCTTGTTAGACCTCCTACAATCGCTACTCGCCGTGTTTATACGTTTGCTTGTGTGGTGCGACCCACATCAGCACATCATGTACGCTGTTCATTTTTTCAACCTCGTGCAGAACATGGGTGAAGCGTTCGTGGACGCCATTGTCGCACAAGGCCGTGCGGCGTCACGACTGGAGGAGTGGCTTGTATGCTTGAGCAATCTGCGTCGCTACCAGTATGTGGTGCGGAACTTTGGCGACACCGTTGTGAAAACGCGCCTCATCGATGCCCTAGGTGATCCCGAGTGTGTAATGGAGCACCAGCGGAAAGTTGTTGCCGAGCAAACACGCGCATCAACGCTGGAGACGGAGGAGGAGCTTGTGCGTCACGTACAGCAAGCGCTGGAACAATCCATGCTGAGTTTTTTGTCAGGTCTCTCAGACATCTCGAGGAAGAAACAAGACACCTCACCCGCTGAGATGAGGCATACAGCTGATCGGCTCGCCGAATACGTTAGGCAGCAGCTGATGCTAGCTAACAGCAACCTGGAGGATGGGTTATTCGCTGCATTCCTGGGGGAAATAGCGGTGCGGGCGTACTACGGAGCCTTTTCTCGTTTTCTCTTGCGTGGTGGGGCTGAAACACTGTCGCAGAGTCGCGTAGCTTTGCTGCTGAATCTCTTGCAGTCCCTCGACGCGGAGCTCGAGTCGGTGGGAGGTGATATAGTGCAAACTGAGATGTTCACCTCACGGCAACGCAACGGGTGTTTGCTGATTGTTCTCATGGGGCAATCGAGCCCCTCTCTTGTGCAGATGGCCAACACAGCGGAGCTCGACGGCGCAGAGCGTAAGCAGGTGGGTTTGGTGCTGCGCTCTCGCACAGACAGTGTCGCCAAGCAGTACGTCAGGGCGACGCACGACTAGTGAGTAAATTTTGTGTTAGTGTCTTTTTTTTTTGTTGTTGTTGTGTGTGCTTTCTTTTCTTGTTGTTATGGTGGGAGGAGAGAGGTGTGTTCGCCCGTGAAGCGGGTGCGTTGTGGACCTCCCCGATTTATGGTAATGCCTGTAATAGTCCGCGAGGGGTGCACGGCATAATCCTCGTCTTTGATGGCGGCGGGTGTGTGGCATGCGCCTCTCTCTCATGTGCATAGTTGATGGCCCCCCTTCTCGGTGTGTCCTGGCATGTCCCTTACAGCAGCATTATTATTATGTTTTCTTCGTTATCTTTGTTTTTTTGTTGTTGTTGTTGTTGTTGTTCTTCCTCAAGATCATAAAAAGGAACGCCACAACAACCACTACATATTTTAGTCTTGTGGGAGCTTTGCCAAGGAAGTGGAAAAAAGAGGTCCGAATAGCGAGATGTACTTTTTTGAAGCAGCAAACCAGAACTATCAGCTACCGAGTACCTCAGTGTTTGACCAGAACATTCAGCCACCGAGCCCCACACTTCCTTTTTACACTATTAACGAAGCTCAGATTCCCACCATTAACGCACCGTTGACACGACAACAACAGCAACCGCAACCGCAGCCGCACATGTTTGCCGTTCCCCAGCACCCGTCAGTCATTTCGGCTCCTGTTTCCTCGCCCGCACTTATGTGGGCAGCAAACAATATGTACGGCGCAGCGCAGATGGTGGCGGCTCCCGATGATGCGGCGGCCCGCTTTCTTCCACCAAAGTGTAACAGTGGGGCCGCTGTGCAAACAATGCAGCCAGTGCTTGTCCCACAGCAACAAACCCCCGGTGGACCCCTCCTCTATATGGTAGCGACCGTCCCAATGCAGCAGTCGTTTCAGCAGGCCGCCCCCCCAGAGAAGCGGAGCCGACACCTCCTTTCGCCCATCTCTCAGATGATGATGCAAGAGAACTCTGCCGCCATGACCCCACAAACGATTCCTGCTGATGAGGTAAATCCCAAAAACACGACGCTTGGTTCCCCCGCCGCGGATCTTCAGGGATCCGGTAAGAATGCCAAAATAAACGTCAATGCGGTATGTCGCCATTTCATGAAGAGTTGTTGCAACCGCAGGAAGTGCCGATTCTTGCATACGCCCGATGACGCCTCTCTCCCCAACATCTGAGGGGCCACCCGACAGAGAGCCTAAGGATCACTACTCTGCTCAGCTGCGATGTAGCCGAAGACGCAGTAGGATTCCCAACGGGATTGAGGCGAAGGAGATGCACAACTAGCAGTTGTTGTCTTGAAAAAAAAAAAACGTGGAGTACTTTTTCTGATTGATTGAAAATCTTCTTTTTTTCTTGTTTTTTGTTTCGCGTCTCGATGATTTTATTTTCTTTCCCCCCCCCCC